AAGTGCATTGGAAAACTGTACAACAAGAGCACCATAATGATCATCGACGGTTTGGAAGAGGAATGGAGGATGAGAAGCGAGAATGCGATTTGCGAGCTGATCATCGCTCAAAATCGGATGCAGAACATGCTCATTGTGATTCTATTAGCTATTGAAGAGGCTTTTAGTGATTTAAGAATGAGTAAAAGAAACCGTTGACAAAAGTAAATATTCGCTTCATGAGGCTCAACAGTCAAAATGATCCAAAAGTCATTCAACTCCTGCCGTCGTAGTTGCGACATCGAATCATTGAATAGCGCTGACTGAATCGGGTGAATATTCTCGTAATCTGTACATCATTAGAAACAATCAATTAAATACATGTGAACAGTTATACTCGATTATAAAATATACATATAAATAATGAAGGATGAACAATAATAATAACAACAGTATATATCAGTGGTCCCATGCTTGGGTGCTCCATTACCCCGTTGGATGGTCCGGCAGGCCGTCATCACCCCCACTTCCGCCACAATAATTTACTAATTCCATTCATATTATCAGAACTAATTTCCCGGTTCCCTCCATTACTCCATCAGACACTCACAAATTATCCAAAATGGGTAATTCCTCCCCCCCCCCCCCCTCCCGGGGAACCAGGGTATAACCGAAAAGCGAGCGAGTGAGTGAGTGGTTAGTATGTATTTGATATCGAGTGAGTAACCTTTTACGGTAGATTTCGTTCTTTTGATTGGTAATTCACATGAAGATATTCCAGAAGATATACTCGATCTGCAATGCAATAAATAATAAAAATTGCTCATTTCACAAGTGAACTTACCTTGATGCGATCGATATATTACACAACAACAAAAAAGCACAACGAAACCTGTCCAGTTTGGGCGCATCTGGCTGCAGATTACACCGCGACGACGCATCGTCGTGGTGATGATGTTCCAATATCGCATCGGTACTGAATCGGGACTTTTGTATATGAGATGCTTTCACGTTCGATGCAAACGACTCATCTTCATTTCGATTCACATTCACACTACTTGCAGATTGGCATGCACAAGCGTCCGTCAAATTGCTATTTCGTTCGATATATTCAGTCTACAATTGCTACCATTCAATTAACCAATAGACTAGTGATGTTCCAGTGTGCTTTCGGCAACAAAGTTCGATTCCGCCCTTCAGTTGATCTGTTCCACCGGACTCCTCATGTTTTCTTGAAGAACCGTTCTGTTCTTTCCTTGGAAGAGAACAACGGCAACAGAACAGTTTAGTTGGAACAGAAACATCACTACTCTAGATGATCACATGCCATGTCATGTTCATAGATTGTCGTGAATTATGCAATTCACAATAGAGAATAATGTCATTTCTAATCGTTCTTATGATAACGCTTCGCCTTGTACTGTCCAAATCCTATCTCAACATTTCACCTTCCTCACAAATATATTGAAAATTTTGTAATGTGTTATGTAACGCATCATGTCGTTCATCTATTATTCGTTTGATTCCTTATCTTATCCATGAGGCCAAATTTACTGATATAAATCATTGCTGCTTGCTTTCAATTTCGGTGTGCTTGAATCAATTCGCTCGTTCATCATCTATCTTTATCCCGTTCATTCTTACTACCTTTCTATCGAGTAAACTGCTTCCCTTAATGAGCCTCAACCCGGTCAGTCGTTTGGTCGGTCAATCGTCAACTCGTCTTTACTCACTCGATAGTTTTTTCCTCTTCAACCCAATTCACAAGTTTTCTTCCTTTGCCCACGTCTCGTCCAGAAAACGTAACCTCATTATTATACTTATAACATCACCCATTACTGACATCTTTGTTCTGCGGTATTAACTGTCTACTTATTCCAGCTCATATTTGCTAATGAATCAATCTTACATAAACTACACAGAGTCGGTATCGTCTACTATATCCGAACTCAAATCATTCACAAAATTTCTATCTGAGCGCATCTACTCATTACACTCGGTGAGCTCAGTTAAACTGCTCAACAAAATACAATCGCACCTAATCGTTGCATTCG